GACAGCTTCTGTAAGTAAGGAATTGGGGCAGGGCTCAATTGGGTGATTCACCCAAAGTCACTTACTGATACTCAGCTGGCAGAAGGGCTGAGCTGGAGAGCCTCAGATAGCTTTACTGACATGTCTGTCACCTTGGCAGGTGTGCTGCAAGCCTGGACTCAGCTGGGATTGTTGACCAGAGCCTCTTCATGTGGGTCAGAAGGTAGCCAGGTTTATGTGGTTGGCTGGGTCCCTCAAAGCAAGCAGCCCAAGAAATCAGGTAGAAGCTCAAGGCCTTTTACCACCCAGCCTTGAAAGTCACATAGATCACTTCCACTGTACTCTGTTACTTGAGCTGACTGGAGCTCACACAGGTTCAAGGGGAAGAAGCATCATTCTCCTGATGGTAGAACCACCACTCTGGCAAAGTGCTTGGTATTGAAATTTTAGACCACCAAAGACAAAGAAGCAGCTAAGATTTTCCAAAGAAGAAACAAACCTTACCCCAAAAATTGGGATTTCTAACTTTACAGTGTTGTATTTGAGAGTATATGGAGCAATACGCTTCATATTCTGAGAAAAATTACCTCCATTCTAAAAGATCTTAACTAAACTTGTAACTATGAAAGTTTGAGGATAACAAAGATAGCTTCCCCCACGCTCCCCCACCATACCCCGAGACAGGGAGACAGGGTCTTACTCTGTTACCCAGACTGGAGTGCAGTAGTGTGATCTCTGCTCACTGAAGCCTTCACCTTCCAGGCTCAAGCAGTGCGCCCACCTCAGCCTCCCAAGTAGCTGGGACTGCAGGTGGGGCACCACCGTACCTGGCTAATTTTTGTATTTTTTGTGGAAACCAGAGTTTCGCTATGTTGGCCAGGCTCGTCTCAAACTCCTGGGCTCAAGTGATCTGCCTGCCACTGCCTCCCAGATTGCCAGGATTATAGGCATGAGCCACCGTGCCCCAAATAAAAATAGTTTTTGACAGATGAGGCTTCTGAGGTTACTGAGAGTATTCTAGGTCTGACTGTTACCTGATAGATACATTATTATTCTTAAAACTGTACATTTACATTGTATATACTCTGGTATGTGGGATAAATTCCACATTTAAAAGAAATCTGGTAAGGTATATGCCAGCTGTTGATAGTAGTTACCTCAGGGGATTGATGTTCCAGTGGAACTGACTTGTACTTTCAGAAGCAGCTTTTTACAAAGGTTGCTTAAAGCTAATACATGTTTTTGATAGTTTATGAATTGATATATTTAAAATAAATAAAGCTGGTCAGTTGAGGTGGCTCACGCCTATAATCCCGGCACTTTGGGAGGCCAAGGCAGGTGGATTAGTTGAGGCCAGTAGTTTGAGACCAGCTTGTTTAACATGGCAAAACCCCATCTCTACTAAAAATACAGAAACTAGCCAGGTGTGGTGGCACATGCTTGCAATCCCAGCTACTCAAGCTGAGGCACGAGAATCTGTTGAACCTAGGAGGCAGAGGTTGGAATTAGCCCAAGATCATGCCACTGCATTCTAGTCTGGGTTACAGAGCAAGACTCTGTCTCAAAAATAAAATAAATTAAGTAAAGCTAAGGATTCTCCTTCTCAAGCTTCAGGAATGACCTTGACTAACGAGATTAATTTTAGTTCTTATGATTAAATTTTTTCCATCACCATCAGGTTTAGATTTTTGTGTTAGCACTTACATTAGGCAGAAGGAAATATATAAAATTTTACACATAAGCAATATGAAAATGTCAGAGTGAGAGTTAGTGCTAACAATAGGTATACAAATTCATATACTTCCCAAGGTACCATTAACATTTTTTGTATGTGTAAAATGTTTTCATGGAATAGAGAAGTTTTGAATATAAATACTCCACGTTTTAAAATTGCCATTTCTGCTTTTATGTTCAAATGTGAATGCATCAATACAGAGAAAACTAGGGATAGGCCCTGAGTGACAACTGCCAATTTAGGAATCATCTTGAAGAAAGAATAAAGGAACAGTGTGTACGAAGACAGAAATAAGAGGGGCCTAATGTTGTAAGGTCAGAAAAGAATATGGTGAGGAGGGGGTAGTCGGAGATCAGAGTAGGGCAGGCCGTCAGGAAACAGACCCTGAAGAGACTGATGTGCTGTGCTAGGACTTTTATATTTATTTATATCCTAAAGTCAAAAGACCTATAGATCTAGTTAGCCAGCAGGACTTAATGGCATGGCAGTTGGCAGACGGTCTTGGGCCACTAAAGGCAGGGAGGTCAGTGAGGATGTCACCACTGTGGGCTGAAGACCTAGTAAGAAAAACAGGAATATAGTTAACCTGAAATTATGCTTGTTTGATTGGAGCGGCTCATTTCTTAAGGACAAGTAGGGGTTCTTTTGAGCAGTAGATCAGTGGGTTTATTACTGAATGCTGTCCTCAGATTCTGACTGTATCTCATTTACAAGCAACCAAAAGTTTGGCCTTTTGGCTTAAGTGGGGGAAAAGTCTCAAGTAACTAAAAGTCCAGAAGTTGAGCTGGCCCATGCTGGGTGTGATTCGGAGCCTCACAGTATCATTCAGGCTTCTTCTCTGCCTCTCTGCGGACCTCTTTCTGTCAGCTTGGTTCTGAAGCCAGCCTCTTACAGGGTAGAGGGAGTGATAGTGAGCATGCTTCTGGGATCCATATTCTCACACACTGTCCAGAGGTCATGTTCCCTCCCTACATTCCCAGCAAGAACCATGAAATCTGCATTTCTGATTGGTCCCATGCTTCTCTCTGAGCCAATCTTTGTGGCCAAATGGGTGATGGGGGTGGCTTAATCCCATGCAGACACATTGTGGTTCTGGTCATTTAGGCACTGTTAACAAGAAGGCGTGGATGCAGGGGCGTGTGCTCAGCGGCTCACAGATCCTGCAGTGACTCCTGACGTATTTCCAAGTGGCGTGTGCTTCTTCTCCCCCAGTTTCCAGTCTCCCTTTTGATAAAGGGAGCACGGGAAAGTCAACCAGACCTCTGGCCTTACGTGACCTCACTGTAGTGTCTAGAAAAAGTACCTGATAATAGACTGTCAAGCTGGGGAGTTCCTTAGTTTTATCAGCTTTTGGTACTTGATAAATATGTTCTTTCTTTAAGATTGGGACTTTCTGAGTATTTGACACATGCCTAATATTTCATGTTTATGTATAAGTAGACTTTTAATAGTACAGGATAGGAGACTAAAAGGATAACAATAAGTGAAATAGAAATATCTTGGCTCGCCGGGCGCGGTGGCTCAAGCCTGTAATCCCAGCACTTTGGGAGGCCGAGGCGGGTGGATCACGAGGTCGAGAGATCGAGACCATCCTGGTCAACATGGTGAAACCCCGTCTCTACTAAAAATACAAAAAACTAGCTGGGCGTGGTGGCGCGTGCCTGTAATCCCAGCTACTCAGGAGGCTGAGGCAGGAGAATTGCTTGAACCCAGGAGGCGGAGGTTGCGGTGAGCGGAGATCACGCCATTGCACTCCAGCCTGGGTAACAAGAGTGAAACTCCGTCTCAAAAAAAAAAAAAAAGAAATATCTTGGCTCTTTGTATACTCGTTCCTTTAAAATGTGATTAACTGTTTAATGGTGTTAAATTTTGGTTATGATACATTAATACAATACATTAAGCCATAAAAAAATAGCATGAGGGACCTCCCAAATATAAATAAAATGAACAGAATGCAAACAAGTATGTGCAGTATACTATTGTTCATGTAGCTTTTACTACAGATTTGATGTTTCTTTTTTTGAGACGGAGTCTTGCTTTGTTACCAGGCTGGAGTACAGTGGTGCAGTCTCGGCTCACTGCACCCTCCGCTTTCTGGGCTCAAGCGATTCTTCTGTCTCAGCTTCCCGAGTAGCTTGGACCACAGGCGTGTGCCACTACGCCTGGCTAATTTTTGTATTTTTAGTAGAGATGGAGTTTCACCATGTTGGCCAGGATGGTCTCTATCTCTTGACCTCATGGTCTGCCCACCTCAGAGATTTGATGTTTTTTAGTGAATTCAACCTAAAATTACAAGGCAAAACAGAACTTGTATACAAAATTTATAATATGATAAAGTCACTCTAACAACATTGTTGAATCATAAATAATGTCAAACTGATTTATACATTTTTTATTCTGTCAAAAGTTAAAACAAGAAGCGAAATCTCTATCCCCACAAATTTACTGTGGATAAGTTGTCCAGGCTCAAACTGCTATTCCAGCAGCATTTTTCACACCTTGATACACAGTGCAAAGGAAATTTCGTTATCTCAAAATCTATTCGTGTACTCAAGTTAGTGAGGAGCTTTCAGTAACTTTGATTCCTTAGTATTAATCTGCAATATACTGACATGCTAGAAGGCAAATATCGAGATACAAATTTAACAGAATTCTATAAATGCCTTCTAACCAAATAATATGTTCAGTTAAACTCATGCTTATGGATTAATACCAGCATTTGGCAGTTTCCATTTGTATGAAGACATCTTCAAAGATGAAATACATCGGCTTTTATTATAAATCAGCACTAACAGGGAATTAGGTAAGAAAAAGAAAAGATATCTAGATGGGAAAGGAAGAAGTAAGACCATCTCTAGTCACCAGTGACATGATCTCATGTAGAATATAAAGAAAATCCAACGAATGAGATTAAGAAAACAACTCCATTTGCAGTAGTATCAAAAAGAATATAATACTTAAGAAAAAATTTGACAAAAGTGCAAGACTTGTGCACTAAAACCTATAAAGCTTCATTGAAAGAAATCAAAGAAGACCTAAATAAATAAAAAACATCCCATGTTTGTGATCAGACTGTTAAGATGGCAGTGCACTCCAAGTTGTTTTACAGAATCAGTACAGTTCCCATTGGAATCCCAGCTGTCTACATCACAGAAATAGACAAGCTGATCCTAAAATGTGTATGGAAATGCAAAGGGCCTTTTTGTGACTGAATATGTGGGGTAGGTGGAGCACAGTAGTGTCCAAGTTAGCCTTGGTCATTTAACTTGGTGCAATTTCATTTCAGGAGAATGACATCTTCCTGGGCTGGGAAAAAGGAGCTTATAAGAAATGGGGAAAGAGTAAGAAAAAATGTTCAGATCTAACCCTAGAAGAAATGAAAAAACAGGCTGCTGTCCAGTGTCTTCGATCTGCTTCTGATGAAGTAAGTTTACATTTTGTTTCTAACACTTAAGAGAATAAAAGGGGTGTTTTAACTTTACAGATATGACAACCAGACCTCCAAAAACTGGGAAAACAAACTACTTGTTTATCTTACCAAGTAACATGAACCATATCACTTTTCCTTTACGATATTTTTCCATATTTTCTGAAGTTTTATAAGCTTTTATATATGTGCTACTCTTAAGAATATACACAAAAATTAATATCCTTTTTTCAGTTTGACTATTTCATCCTGTTATTACATTGTCTTTATTCTTTCTAGTGGCTAAGTTACATTTCATCAAATAATATTTCAACAGCAGTATAATATTATAATCTTTATTACTGGATGTTTACCTCGCTCTTTTTTTTTTTTTTTTTTTTTTTTTAAAAGACAGTGTCTCTGTTGCCCAGGCTGGAGTGCAGTGGTGCAATCTTAGCTCACTGCAACCTCCGCTTTCCAGGTTCAAGCAATTCTCGTGCCTCAGCCTCCCGAGTAGCCAGAATTACAGGTGCGTGCCACCACGCCTGGCTAATGTTTTTGTATTTTTTAGAAAAGACGAGGTTTCACCGTGTTGGCCAGGCTGGTCTCAAACTCCTGATCTCAGGTGATCTGCCCATCTTGGCCTCCCAAAGAGCTGAGATTACAAGCATGAGCCACCTGGCCCAGCCTGCTCTTGATTTTTTTGTTATGCTGTCTAGAATATTTTATGTGTGGTTTTTCCAGGGTCTGTATTACTACATTTGAATACATTCCTAGAAGGGAATAGCAGTTCAGACACTTCAAAAGCACTATATTGGCATATGATTTATATATTTTCGTTTTTAGAAAAATTATGATTATTTTATTCTTTTAGCATTTCATGTGTTTCTCATGTCTTTTAGTTTCCTAAAATAAAAAAAATAATTTTACAATATCATCTTTTGCAGTTAATATTATGAATTCTTATTTTATTATTCACTGTAAGAGGTAATCTTTGAGATCATAACTACTTAAAAAATTATTTTACTTTGACTCTGCTGTTTGAGATAGTATGGTTTAAGTACCTTTATGATACAAGGCCAAACGGAGGGAATTCTGACCTCCAGAAGCTAATTTCCTGAACTAATTGTTGAATGGTCTAGTGTTGGGATAACTGGCTTTCTTATCTTTGACAATCTGCAGAAGTTTATTCTGTCTGGCTGCCACTGATGCAAATTATTTTTAATGTTTATTTGTTTAGCGTTTCCCACAATTATCTCTGAGGCCAGGAATGGTGGCTCACGCCTGTAATCCCAACACTTTGGGAGGCCAAGGTGGGCGGATCACCTGAGCTCAGGTGTTCAAGACCAGCCTGGTCTAACGTAGTAAAACCCTATATCTTCTAAAAATACAAAAATTAGCTGGGCATGGTGGTGTATGCTTGTAATCCCAGCTTGGGAGGCTGAGGTAGGAAAATCACTTGAACCTGAGAGGTGGAGATTGCAGTGAGCTAGGATTGTGCCATTGCACTCCAGCCTGGGTGACAGAGCCACCCCCTACCAAGAAAAAAAAAAATAGTCTCTGAAAGCCTGACTCCCCTGGCCATGTACTCATGATACATTGTGTATACCTCAAGTAACATGGCCCTCACATCCTAAGTTGCAGTTATTCATTTGACTGTGCTCATTGGGCACAAGGACTATGAGTTACCCATCTTTTTTATCTTCTGTTGCATAGTACAGTGAGTGCTTATCACATGAAAGGTACTGATTTTTTTTTTTTTTAATGAATCTAACATTCATTTTTTAAAAGGCCTACCCTTTGATCCAGTTTTTTTTTTTCTCTTCCCAGCTGTTTTCTTCTCCCTCACCTCTGATTTTTCAATTTCTTAATTTCTCTCTCTCTTTTTTTTTTGAGATGGAGTCTCACTGTGTCACCCAGGCTGGAATGCAGTGGCACAATCTCAGCTCTCTGCACCCTCCACCTCCCAGGTTCAAGCGATTCTCCTGCCTCCGCCTCCTGAGTAGCTGGAATTACAGGTGCCCACCACCATGCCCAGCTAATTTTTAAATTTTTAGTAGAGACGCGGTTTCACCATGTTGGCCAGGCTGGTCTCAAACTCCTGACCTCAGGTGATCCATCTGCTTTAAAAGTGTTGGGATTATAGGTGTGAGCCACCGCACCCCGCCAACTTCTTAATTTCTGAAGCTGCTGCTTCATACAGCATGGGATAGGAGTTTGGAAGCTACCCCTTATATATACAGCTATCTTAGGCACCATTTCATTACAACAATTAGGAACATAATTAACCTAGTTTAAGAAAAAATAGAAATATATGTAAAGGATATAGGGATATCTCACTGAAGCCAAGTGCTAGAAATATAGCAGCCTCAAGAGAGAGCTGAACTGGGAATTATGTGATAGACAAAGTCACTTTCTGTAATAACCAATGTATAATCTTTCATTACCTGAGTAATGAAAGACTTTCTGTACCTGAGTCGGATCATTCCCTCTCTGTCTGAACTCTGGCTTTCTCTGCCTTAGCACATGGTAAAGAATGGCCATTCTAGCCTCCAGCCCAGCATGACTATGGAACTGTACTGCCCAACACCATTCATCTAGAGAGAGAATCTGATTGGCTAGGCTTGAGCCAGGTGTCCACCCATGATTTGATAAGCCGTGGTGAGGAAGCAGGGCTGCCTGGAGGTTCATCACTTCAGCAGGGGCTGTGAGTGATGTGCCCAGAGAAAACTGTGTGGTTAAAATGGTGGGTTTTTTGGTTTTTTGGTTTTGTTTTAATTTAAAAAATAGGGACATGGTCTTCCTATGTTGCCCAGGCTGGTCTCGAACTCCTGGGCTCAAGCCACCCTCCTACCTCAGCCTCTCAAACTGCAGGGATTACAAGGCCTGAACCACCATGCCTGGCCAAAATGGTGTTTTCTTTATGACACTGAAGGGATTAAATTGATAATGTAATTTATAGATTGATAAAGTAATTTAGAACTTTTAAAGGAATTCAGAATGCAATTTTTTTTTTTAACAAGTGAAAAGTTAATTCAGGTCAGTTATTTGAGCAAAATCCAAAGAAGCTGCTGAGTTACAGTCAGAAAGAAAATATGGGTAGTGCATATCAAACTGGGAAAGGATCTTATTTCTTTTTTGGACCAAAGTTGCTGAGAAATGAGCCTAGCCTTTGACTCACAGTTAAGCTGAGGAAATGACAGGGCAGCTGAAGTCAACTGTGAAAAAAATGAAGAGTACATGAGTAATGCAAGACCCTTCTGTAGCTTGTTAATTTGCGTGTAATTCATGCTAACTGAGTATGTTGTGTAATGTGAATAACTTAGTATGCGGTAGGAACAGAGTAAGGGAATGGTTGTGGCTTAAAAAGATCTTTGATTCTTTAGATTACTGCTTTGTAAAAATGCTTTCCTTTGCCTGGCTGTCATAGGCGGGATTTTTATTTTCAACTTCAATAAAGCATATTTGTACTTTCTTGCTCTTTCCTTCTCATTTTACTTAAAAAAAAAAAAAAATGGTTGGATTGCTTTTTCTGAACAATGATTTTTAAAATTTTAACAAATTAAAATTAGTTGAGGAAGTGAATGTGCCGGGTATGACCACATGCTCAGTCATTACTTATGGAATGAATGAAGAGAGTCTTCAAGTCTCAGTCCCTGCTCCAGAGCCACGTGCTGTTGTTTGTGCATCAATCTATAGATCCCTTAAATCAGGTGTCCCCAAGCCCCTGTCCATGGCCTGTTAGGAACTGGGCTGCACAACAGGAGATGAGTAGTGAGCAAGCATTCCTGCCTGAGCTCCGCCTCTTGTCAGATCCACGGTAACATTAGATTCTCAAAGGAGCAGGAACCCTGTTGTGGACTGAGGATATGACGGATCTAGGGTGAATGCTCCTTATGAGACTCTAATGCCTGAGATGGAAGTTTCACCCCAAACCCCATGCCTGCCTGCTGGGTCTATGGAAGAATTGTCTTACTGTCTTCCATGAAACCAGTCCCTGGTGCCCAAAAGGTTGGGGACCACTGCCTTCGACCAGCTCACTGGCCTCTTGGGGAGTCAATGAAAAGAACCTTCTTTAATTATTGCCTGCTGCAGTAGAAAGAATCAATCTGTGGTAGTTTATGAATGGTAGGTCATCTGTGTGTCCCCTGGGTTTCTTTTTATAATCTGTCTATTGGCTTCAATGGAAAGAAAGGAGCAAAGAGACCTACATCGAAAATTATAATGCAAAATTTATTTTATGTTTTTGTCATGAATGTTTGCATATAAGTATGCTCATTTCCTGAGGATCGTCATGTTGGGGGTACTGTGTGTGCTGTGTTGTCCCATCTAGTCCAAACGCCCTCTTAAAAGCGTTTCTCAGTACAGTTCTTTAGACAGTCACTACCAATTGGTCACAATTAAAAACCCTAACAGTTCAACTTTATAATCTAGTAGGTTTATAATCTACTAGATTAAAATGCTAATGGCAATTACAAGACAATAATATAGGTTATATTATTAGATAAAAGTGTAGGTAGGAAGTAGTGATGTTACGCATTACATGTGAGATGAATTAGTTTCTCATTATGTCCATGTGTGTATGTGACTGTTACAGTTAGCAATGTGAATTGTTTCTATAAAAGCATCCGTAGTCATCAGACTATTCACTGGTGTCATGGTATGTGGAGAATGGCTTCTTCTCTGACTTCACTTAGGTGCTTGCGGTACTCCACGGTGCCTCCACTTTATCCTATAGCAATTTGTACCCCACGTTATAGCACACCTCTTGGCCTGCTCAGCTCATTATTTTATCTGAGCGACATTGCCACAACAGAAGGGCAATTCACTTGTGTCAGAATTTAATTTTATACATTGATTAAAGTTTGGCTGTCTCCATGCAAAAGTTGGCTGAGCAGTTGGTGAATATTTCTCCAGGGAGTCATGACCTTTGATGGGCTTTATTGGTTGTTAGGTCCCAGCTGAAAACTGCCTTGGCTAATTCCCATTCATTTACATATGCAAATAATATGCAAGTC